GAGGATCGAGAGTTGAAGCAACTTCGAGGCAAAGAGATTGCTTTGGTGAGGGTCGCTTGGGGAGGACCGGCTGGTGAGAATGTGACTTGGGAACTTGAGAGCCAGATGAGGGAGTCTTATCCAGATTTGTTTGGAACAGGTAACATTTTCAAGGACGAAAATTCCTGAAGTGGGGGAGGGTTGTAACAGCCCAATTTTCAATAATTAATTATTTATATTAATTAATTGATTTATTTGGATGATTTTAATTATTGGAATTATTGGTAGATGTTTGAAAGGAGAAAGATAATGGAAGGAAATAGAATGGGAAGGCATATAAGGAAAAGTGGAAGAAAAAGGAAAAGATAGAAACATAAGAGAAAGAGAAGAGAAAGAAAGGAGAAGAGGAGAAAAGAGAAGGAAAAGGAGGAAAAGCTTGGAATCATCAAGAATAACTCCTAGCTTTCGATTTAATCAAGGTAAGAGTGTGAAATATCATTATATTGTCAATGTATATGATTATGTATGATTTATTTGGATTGTTTGGATGTTTTCTCCATTTTCCATTCTAGGGCATAAATGAGTTTAATCGGTAGAATCAAGGTTTTAACGGTTGGAATTCGGAATAAGTGGTGTAGATTAGTTGAGGATTGTTAGACTAAGAGTACTGGAACTCGTTGGAATTGAATCGGGTGATTTTAGGAGTTTTGGAGAGTTTTGGACAGTGAGGGTTTTGAACATCGCAGACGTTCGCTAGCACCTTCGCTAGGCGAACAGGTCGCGAGTGTTCGCTAGCAACTCGCTAAGCGAGCAAGCTAGTGAGTGGTCCCAGACTTGGACAGAATGTATTTGATCTTGTTCGCTGGTAGCGAGTGAGGTAGCGAAGGATTCGCTAGGACCTCGCTGCAGTGAGTAGGTAGCGAACGAAGTCAGTAGCTTCTGGTTGCCTTCGCGAGCTTGTTCCCCAGGCGAACTGGTAGCGAGCGTTCGCTAGGGACTCGCTAGGAGAGCAAGCCAGCGAGCATGACATCATTTCATTTTCTTTGTGATTTCATCCGATGTTGATTGTTTGGTTCGATTGTGTTCAATCCTTATCGCAATGAATAGTTGTGTACTATGGTGTGATATATTGTGGATAGTCGTATGGCGTGAATCCTAGATGGTGGAATCGATTATGAATGCGGTCTTTTGATAATATATGCATTGTTTAAATTGATTAAAAGTGCATGATGATTGTGATTGAGTTCGTTGCCATTGGCACGATGTTATTAATAATGTATGAGAACATATTGTGAATATGTGTGCATTGCTTGTAATTGTATGTGAAGAATGCATGAGAACATATTGTGAATATGTGTGCATTTCTTGATAAATATGGTGATGATGATTTAAAGTGTGAATACTTTGATTATGTGAAATATGTTGTGTGTGCAATCATGTTATAATTCTTATGTGATGAATTATTGAGAATGCATGAGATTAAGATGCGAGAACGGTCTTAAATGCATTTGGTTGTTGATTGCATACGCATCATTTAGTCAAGAGGCAATGCTTGCTAGTTTCGTGGAGATTAGTGACTTGTCCCAAGCTTAGAAGAGTGGGTTTGAAAGCATAGAAGACGGGCTTTTGTTGTTATCGGTCTAGAGGACGGACCCGGTTTAAATGTAAAAACCGAAAAATGATAACAAGTGTTGGTACCACATTGCATGAGTTGCATTGAGTCACATGGCATAGAGATAAATGTTGTGTGAATGTATGCATATGTGTATGTTATGCGAATTGATGAGAATTATGGATGTGTGGATGATAAATATGCTTGGTGATCATTCCATATTTGTTTATATATACATATATTGTGATGCATATGATGATGATAATGAATTGTGGTGAGAAATGCGGAATATGTGTATTCTATGCTTGTATATATATATATATATATATATATATATATATATATATATATATATATATATATATATATATATATATATATATATATATATATATATATATATATATATATATATATATATATATATATATATATATATATATATATATATATATATATATATATATATATATATATATATATATATATATATATATATATATATATATATATATATATATATATATATATATATATATATATATATATATATATATATATATATATATATATATATATATATATATATATATATATATATATATATATATATATATATATATATATATATATATATATATATATATGCATTGATTATTATGATAATATTTCTCACCCTTCTGCTGTTTTATAATGCTCTATGAGCCATCGCAGATTAGCTTTGATGGAAGTCTTTTATGAAGTATAGCTTCATTCTTTTGGCCAGTTAAGCTCTGATATGTAGCACCGGGTAGTTAGGATTGTACATTATTCTTTTGGGATACATTTTGTATATGTATCTGTTGACAATGTTTATGTAAACATGAATGATGTGGTGAATCAAACTGAATGATATGTATTTATATGATTAGCATGTTTAAAGTGATTCAATGTTTAGAGTTTCCACTTTTAGTTCTAAAGATTGAAATGTGGGTGTAGGGACTAAGTTCCTCTATTGAAACTACCCCACTGTTGCATGTCTTTTATCAAGCAGGTGTTGTATGTTAATTTCGTGATGATGTGACATACCTCTTTTATACCATGTTTTATTTATACTCTGATGAAATTTTAATACGTGTTAAATGATTTATTTGTTCAATTGGGGTATAGAAAGGGGGTGTTACAGATGCTATGTAAAGGTAAGGCTATAGTTAAAAAGATTAGGACGGGAATAACAACGTAATTAACTAAAGGTTTGGGAATTATCATAAAAAGAGAACGAATATGGATTCCGTGTTCCTAATGGACTTCGTAGATTTTAGGCACTAGTTGTAATTAACTATGTTCCATAAAAGGTATTGGTTTAAAGACACTATCCCACACTCTCGCGCTATTGACTGAGTCATACTCCCTAACCATGAGATTTTGTTCTCGCTTTCCCATTTTAATTAGAAAGTGTATTTTGAAAATCAATTAAATCATAATCGATCCGTAAAGCACTCTTGCTGTTTTTAGGATCGATGCCTAGTTTCCACTATCTGGTTCAACCCTCACACTTTCGCGCTATCGGCTTGAACCTTAGTTTGCTACTCACTCTCGTGACAAAACAATAAGACATACAATTGGAAACTAAAATCAAAACAGAATTTAAATCATAATTTTGCACCTATTATTTTCTACTGAGTCCCGTCGGTAATGACGGTCCTCATACGCTGGACTCAGACAGAATTTAGCAAGACATAATTTTGATTAAGAAGGACATAAACATATCATTAAAATTTAAAGACATCGTGACAACAATAAAGATAAATGTGATGGAAATAAAGTTAAAGCAAATAAAAAAACCTGTAACGTAAAGAAAACGAGACTGAAGAAATATATGACTTGATTAAAATTCCGACAGGCTCGTTTCTTGATCCAAGAGTATAAATAAAAATACAACGAAAACAGAATTTATGTGGCAATCCCTCGAAGTGAGTTATTGTCACTTTTACAAGTGAATTTCTACCTAAAAACTAATTCGACAACGCTTCTGCATGACTTGGACGCTTTGGAATGACTAGAAGGTTGCTATATATAGAGCTTGAAGATCCTGACAACTGCTCTGGATGTGCTGGAAAGTTGGAGAAGAAAAAGGAAATGGGCAGAGGGAGTTTCAACTGTTTTTATGAAATTTTGGTTCTACGGGATAATGGCGAACGCCATTAGGAAAATGACGAACGACATTGCCTTCTTCATTAAATGACGTGGCTTCTGACACATGGCGGACACCAATAGGGAATGGTGAACGCCATTGCACCAGAATGCTTAGTTTTCTGCTCTTTTGCTGTTCCTTTGCTTCCTTTCATAATTTCTCGCGAAGTTGCACTGACGCTAATTGAAATCTGCAAAACAGACAAGATACCATGTAAAAGTAATAAAAACAAAGTAAAATGATGACGAGTAACATGCGTTATGAGCCTAAAAATACGATACGTTTTCACGTTATCATTGTTCACTAAAATTAACCAACACACAAATATTTGCTACTCAGAACTACGTAACTTGAATTCTTCATCGCACCAAATCTAAATTTGATTGCGACGACTATATTTTATTCTTTAAAAATTTTATTGATATTTTTTTTCTTTTAAAATAAATAAACTTCAGTAATGATTCTGTTATAATTTTAAACATTTCATAAGCCAAGATATTTTTCATACTACCAACAATTATTATTGATATTTCACGAGCTTACAACTTACACATGTACAAATAAAATTTATATTGCAATATGTAAAAGATACCCTTGAATAGTTGTTTCTTCTTTTTCTCTCTTTTATCTCTATTATTTTTTTCATATCATGTTGTGGTTTTGGGTAATTTTATAAAAAATTTAACTTATGTTACATTACTTTGTTTTGTATTATACCAACAATGAACAATATAATGATAGAGGAATCTAAAAAAAACTAAGCAATTCAATTATTTATTTGTAAAATACAAAAATGCAACAAAATAAAAATGCAATTCTTTTGTACAATGACATAAACACACGATACAATTGAACTCCTACCACACATAAACTAGGTAATTCACCCATACATATAAATTTAATTAACATAATTAAAAAAATTACAACCATGAACATCCAACTAACCTTCTCCTTCAATCCACATGCCAAAATGAGAGAAAATTCATGTCAAAATTTCCCCCCTAAAGACCATGACCATCATAAGGTTCTAGAAATCACCTAAACAAAATATCTCACTCTCAATATTCAAACATGTACACCAACCCAACCAATCAAAGTTTTCTTTATATAATGCAATAGTTGTCAAGGCAGCATGAATTGACTTGACTAATATATAACCTTTGAAGTTTGAACTAGTCATAGCCACCAAGATTATACATTATAATACAACAATATCCCATTTTGAAAAGTCTCAAATTATTTTTTAAGAACAATAGGCAAAACTATGATCAAGATAATAATAAGAAGTATCAAGATGGCAATACAAGTCCATTTTCGGGTATTCTTCTGGTGCTTCCTAGCAACAGTCAACTGCTGGACCCCACCTCTCACGTACGAATTAGCACGTGCCACGTGGCTCTCAATATTATCCAACTGTTCACCTTGTGACTGAACCAGAACAGACATGTCCATGAACACTTGGTGTAGTGCCAATAGATTTCTCTCTATCTCTTTCACTGTGTCATGTCTCTCTTGAATTTCTTGGATTGTGTCCATGATGTTTGCCCTGCCTTGTTGCTGAATCGCTTTTTGCAAAAATGTTTCACTTTCACCTATTACATTAGGTTACATAACATTTTTCAATCAATATATAACAAGAATATTTATAAACCAAAATGATAATATAGAATAAAATGAATATGTATCCATATATTTTATGAATATGTATGTATATATTTTAGTCATTTGATATCTCTGCAGAACTGGTTTAATAAGACATGTGTATGTATAGATATGTATGATGTACATACCAGTGGAAATGAGGAGGTCAACGGTTTTGTCATCTGGATTCTCTCCGGTGACAGTATAGTATCTACGTTGTACGGTTTCACGGTATTCTGATGATATCTCTTGTCTAAGGTTGTTGAAGCTATCCATAGAATCCTTAAGTTTCTTTCTCAAGCCACTCACCACGGATGTTCTAGTCCGGTCCGAGGATGAACCTGGTCCAGCGCCAGGCAAACTCCTGCTAGCCTCGTTGGACCGGTCAAGTGCCTCGAGCCGGGTCTTAACTATTTTAGCTTTCTTCAAAGCAACAGACACATCATTATCCATGCTGGAGCGAATATCTTTTACAGATTTTGCAGTGTGAAGGGTTTTGCTCCTCTCATTGGAGGTTCGAAGGTTTTCGTAGAGACGGTCGAGTTCCTTGAGTTCCTCTTTAACGGCTTCGACTTCTTCGAAAAATTTGTCGAGGTGTACGCCACTTTGAGCGGTATTCGGGGATGATATTTCGATGACATGATGGTGGTTGTCCGGCGAGACTTGATCGGTGTTGCGGAACCGGGAGAAAGAGCCGGAGAATAAGTCATTCATCTTGTTCTTTGAATTTTGGTTGTGCTGTAAAAAATTAAAAGAAAGAAAGAAGGTTTGGTTGTTTTTTATTTGGGAGTTGAATAAATATAAATAGTTGAAATTGATGAGAGGATATGAATGATGAAGTATTTATATCTATATGTTATGTTATGTGATGTAATGAGGAGAATTATTTGAATGATATTGGGTTTGATTTTTTCTTTGATTGAACAATAATAGTGTTGTGGAAGTGGGCGAGAAGGGTTCAAATTGCAATAATAATTAAGTGCAAGATGAGAAGTAAAGTTGATTATTATTATAGTGAGAAAATATTTGTTGAGAACAAATGGAGGGTTGATTATGATGAGAAGATTAAATTAATCTAGATGATTGGTAGTAGCAGACAGGCAAAAGAGGGTAAGTGGTCAAAGGGGGTTGGGAGAATGAGGCGTGTACAAATGGCTTCGTGGGAAATTTCCTATCAAGAATGAAATTAAAGGGAAGCAGCCTCAAAGTAATTTCATTATGGACAATGGAGACGGTAATAGAATAATTGAAAAGTTGTTGTAGGGAAGAAAATTGTTGCTTATTTGAGAGAATGGGTTTGGTTTTTTTTTTTTGTTGGTCTTACTTATCTACGAGTGATGATTGTAATGTTTACAATTATATGATGTACTCTTAGATAGACAGTATATATTTATATTTGTATGGTAAATTAGGAGATGCAAGTTCACCTTTTAAAAATAAATAGATGTGAGCGAACCCACGTCTCTATTTTTAATATACATGCATAACTAACCATTGAGTTTATTTAACAAATTCATAATAAGTGATTTTATTATATCAAATCATATATTTTAAAATTACATAGATAATAGGTGAATTGATAATTCTTTATTAAATGAGAATATAAAATTATTTTATATTGTCATTATATATATATATATATATATATATATATATATATATATATATATATATATATATATATATATATATATATATATATATATATATATATATATATATATATATATATATATATATATATATATATATATATATATATATATATATATATATATATATATATATATATATATATATAAAATTAGATTTTGCTACGTAAAGTTCACTTCATAACTTGAAAAATCACTTCAAAAACTAGTATTAGCGACGTGACTATTCACGTGGTAGGAGGACATGTGACAACTTTGTTGCCACGTAAAAATCACGTCACAACTTTGCCACGTGATTTTCACGTCGCAACAAATAAAACATAGTTTCAGTCATAGCAGGCGTATCAGAGAAAGTGGCAGACGTGTGTAAGAAAGTTGCGACGTGAATTTCACGTGGCAAGTTGCGACGTGATTTTCACGTGGCAAGTTGCGACGTAAATATCACGTGGCTAAGTTTTTCTTTTTTTTTTATATAAAAAAATTGATTAATTTTTTAGTACATTTAAAAATAATTTATATTTTTATTTAAATTTCAAATTATAATTATAGTTTGTTTTTTTAATTATTTTAAAATACAAATTTATTATTAAAAAAATTTCAATAATAATTTAAATTGAAAAATTAATAAATACAAATTTTTTAATAATAATTTAAATTGAAAAATTAATAAATACAAATTATTTTTAAATTATTTTCATTAATAATTTAAATTGAAAAATTAATAAATATAAATAACAAAAATAATAAATATAAATAAATACCAAAATTAAGAATAAACTTTTTAAATAAAAAATGTATAATATACTAAAATGTAATTAATATTTTACAAAAATAAAAATTTAAAATTACAATAAATGATTCGGATCAATCCGTCTCGGAAAAACTGTCAATGTTAAAATTATCCTTATCCTCGCCATCCAACTGTTGTTGACCACCCACTTCTTCATTTCTAACAACTGGATTACCGCCACCTTGTGAATGCATAAATTGGCACATCGTCACCTCCATTTCAGCTTGTCTCTTATTCATTGCCTCTATCTGACGTTGTTGCTCCTCCATTTTGACCGTCGCTTCGCGTCTTGCTTCAGTTAGCGCCAGTTGTCTTATCGTTTCTAGCATCTCGATGGTCAATTGTGGGTGGATGTGACGTCCCCTCTGAAGGTGAGAAAAATACTTAGAGGGGGGGTTGAATAAGAGTTTTAAACAAATTGAGTGATAGAAAAATAACACATATATTTTTATCCTGGTTCATTTGAACTCAAACTAATCCAGTCCACCCTACCCAGGTGATTTGCCTTTCTGAACAAAAACTTAATCCACTATATCAAACTTGATTACAGTGTAAACCACTAAGATAACTGTCTTAGTCTTCTCAAGAAAATATGACCACAACTTGGTCTTCTTAAGGAAATCTTTTACAAAGATAAACTAACAATTTGTGTTTAAGGTTTTGCTTCTAATAAGCTATATCACAACAATGATGTTTACACAATATTAAGAACAAATATGAAAGCTGTTAAGCTTGAAGAATATTTGAATGAGAGCTTGTGAGTTGATTTTCTTTCAAATGATTTTTGCAATATTCGTCAACGTTGGAAAGATGCTGAAGCTTGTTTAAATACTACTTCAAGTCCTCATCTCAAAGACTGTGCATTGCTGTATGTTCTGCTGCCTCTGTTGCCTTTTTGTCCTCTATTGACTTTTCCTTTCCCGGAAGAGGAATGTTCAGACATGTGCTTTGTGTTTGAATTCTTGTGTCATGCATAAATGAGGAATAGTGCCGTTGGAGCAGACGTTGGGATTAGCAACAGATCTTTTCTTTGAGCTAGCATCTTTTCAACTGAATAAACTAACATCAGATCCTCTGATGTAATTCCTTGTTCTTCAGATCAGAGTCTTGCAACAATAGTGCTTAAGCGTGAATGTTACAATCAGCGCAGAGTTGAATATCAAATCCTCTGTACTTGCAACGTGAAGTACTTCCAGAGTCTTCTGAAACAATGTTGTAACGCTCTTTACTCAAATTCTTCTTAGTTTCACTCAGAGTCATCTGTAGCAGATCAGAGTCTCTTCAGGCAGCGCTCAGAGTCTTCTGAAATGTTGCTTCTGACGCTCAGAGTCTTAACATTCTTTTCAGTTGCAAATGTAATTTTGCTTCCAAATGAATATATAATTTAAGATCTGAAACAAAATTACTTAAACACAATTAGAGTATATATTTCCTTTATGCAAACTTTCATTTATGTTATCATCAAAACAATGAGATATATTTAAACACCAATATGTGTTTTAACAATCTCCCCCTTTTTGATGATGACAAAAACATAGGAAATTTTGTTCAATAATAAAGAATATAACTCCCCCTGAGATTGTGAATCTCCCCCTGAATTGAATACCATAAGAAAAATAAATACTTTCCTTTTTGATTAAGTATTCTTTTCAGAGTCAGAGCCTGGTTTGGCTTTTCAGAATCAGAGCCTGGTTTGGATCCTGAAGCCTGGTTTATTCTTTTTAGAATCAGAGCCTGGTTTATTCTGATTTGAATTAGAGCCTGATTTAAGAGCTTTCAGAGTAACTTTTATGAATTAAGTCAGATGCAACGTTATAGTTCTGAAAGACTAAAATTCAATGTTAGTTCTAATTTATTATGTCTGAATTCCATTCTGGTAACTGTTTATTTGAACAATTATAATTTCTATTTTCTCCCCCTTTTTGTCATATCAAAAAGAAAAAACTTTTTAAGACACAAAAGAAAAACAGAGAAAAACGAATATAATAAAATAGATAGAAACAGAAATCAAACAGATGCATTGATAATCAAAATATTCAGAGGATAAACACATAAGCAGAACAAACATAATGTGCACAAACAACAGAAATACAACTAAGGTTGGCGAGAGGCTATTATCTTCAGAAGGTTTGTGATCTCAGAAGTAGATTCTTCTTGCCTAGCCATCCATGTCTTAATTTCATATGTTGTCTTTTCTTGCTTGATCATCCAAGATCTGATCTTTGTGTTGCTGGCTTCAAGCTTAGCAAACTTTTCTTCAAGATATGGATTCTCTTTCTTGACTTCAGAAGATGCAGGATTAGATGCAGACGCAGTCTCAACAACCATAGCAGAGGCATTCTCTTTAATCACTGAGTCAGATGCTTGATTCAGAACCATCAGAGCAGACTGATTTGACACTTGATTTTCTTCAGCAACAGACACTTCTGGAAGAACATCTTCAGACTTAGATTCTTCAGCAGGTGCATTGTCCAGAGGAAGAATTGGAGATCTACTCATATTCAGAAGAGTTTGTCTCATAACTTCAGCAAATCTTACCTTTGCATCATCAGAGCAAATGGTTCGAAGGTTTGAAGCTACAGAGTTAAATCTTGAAATGAATATGTTCCAAGTGGCTTCAGAAGCATCTGGGTTCACATTTGACATGCACTCCTTCTTGACAGTAGACAACCATATGTTTAATTCCTTTTTAAAACCGGCAAATAAAGTACTAACATCCATTCTAGGTTTAGGTTTCAGAAAGTTTTCTAGAGATGGTGTTTTGGTGGTTTCAGATGTGGAAGGTATGAAAAAAGAAGGAATAATGAAAAGAGGACGAGGATATGGTGTAGAAGGTTTAGTGACAGTCTTTGGTTTAACAGATGGAATGATATCAGAAGGCATAGGACAAAATGGAACAAAAGCTGATGTAGGTTTTGGAGTTGATTGAGAAAGGATAGGTACAGATGAAATGGATACATCTGGTTGTTTTGGTTCATAACCACGGAGTGAAGGGGTTGAGTTCACTTCTGAAGGTAAATCAGATTCAGAAGAATCAGATGATGCAGAAGAGTGACAAGATGTTGAGGAAACGTCAAAAAGAATTTTCAACGGTTGAACATCAAGAACATTAGAATCAGGTATAAATGATTCAGAAGTTTTAGGTTGTTCTGGTTGAGGATCAGAGGGAATGGGTTCTTCTGGTTGTGGTTTAGAAGTTTGTGTTTCTGGTGGGGGAATTTCAGAAGTTTGTTTTTCAAATGGGTGAGGTTGAGATACAGAAGTTTGTTTTG